TAGAAAGTCCCTGGTATTTTTTTACACTTCTAGCAGTTGGGATTCATGTTTGGGTACATTTTAGCAAATCCTGTTAGTGGTAAATGCCAACAATAAAAAATTTTATACATATTTTCTTTGAGTACTACTGATCGTGTTAGTTTATAGTTTGTGTTCCAAATTCTTTCCCAATCCACTAGATCTATATTGTGTCCAAAGTTTTTGGTCCATGCTGTCATGCAACCTTTAACTTTTTCTTCTTCTAATGTTACTTCTAATAAATATTTGTTCACCACCTTGAGTTGTTTAGAAGAATAATAAAGAATTATAAAGGCGGGATTTCAATAAATAAAAATAAATATTGCAGTGAAGAAAAACTGCCCCTCAAATAATCATACCGCTAACCTAAATGGCTAGGTGTTCTTGTAGCAGTAATCCTGCTGGAATTATAGTGGTGATGCTAATGCCACATTTATCATATTTCAGAATTTCTCCACATTTTTATTTTGTCCCTGAGTCAATGTCGACACTTGACTGCGTGAACATACTCTTGCACTTTTCTCAGTAAGATTTTGGCCTTGGCCTTTTTCCTAGGGCCTGAAAGTAATTGGTCCAAGTCACCCAAGTATCTTTGTACCTACAGCAAGACTAGAACTCAAGAGTCTCCTAGTTTCTAGCCTGATGCTTTAACCACTACTCCAAACTAGCTCTCGATTCAAACTATGAACATTGCTCACAAACATCAATGACCCAAGCGGACTTCAAAGTGACCTAACTAGTCACCCTTACAAGTTGCTGAAATACCTGCCAAGCATACATCTACCTGGTATGCCAGAGCAAAGAGAAATTATTTTAACTGTATTTATAAAAAAGAAAAAAAAGTCTAAAGGCAGGGCAAATATTGGCCTGAGCAAGTGGGATGTTACTTGGGACTTAATTGTTTTTGATATATTGGAAATATTTGTACAAGTTTACATAAAGCATAAGCCCAATGTTTAATAACTGTGAACAAAACAGCCGGCAAATAAAAATGCAATTAAAAAGTCAGCATGCTTAAACTGTTTACAATTTTCGGATGAATAATTTGAAGGGTATGGGGGTGTGGAAGAGCAGGCTGCTTGAGAAAATCACAGGCACCTGTGCTGTTTTATTTCTCTCCCATTTGAGAACTTTTTTCCCCCAGCGTCAGCACAGCAGATTTGCCAATGAAGCAGCAACCCCTTCACAGGTGTCAGGCAATTGTCACCATCCTAAAGAGCCTAATAATTGTACATAGTTCAAACCATTTCAAAGTGTATTCAATGCTCCTCCTCTTTGCCCTAAGCACTTCTGATCTATAACCATTTTTGCTGGCTTTGGAAGCTGCACTCTCACCCTAAAGCAGAGGTGTCAAGCTCGATTGCATTGAGGGCTACATCAGGGTTGTGTTTGACCTCGGGGGACCATTGTGGGTGTGGCACAGTGGGCATGGCCAGCTTAATGTCACTCGTGTTGGGGGTACTTGTGATGGCCTGAGCTCTCTGCCAACAAAAANTGATCTTGATACTGTAGATACTCTACAATCCCTCTGTAGATGCAACCTCAGACAGCACTGGCTTTTTTGGCAGCTGCAGCACACTACTGGCTCATATAAGGCGCAGGGGTTAGTGCAGTACTACAGGCTACTTCTACTGATCACCGGCTGCCAGCAGTTTGGCAGATCGAATCTCACCAGGCTCAAGGTTGACTCAGCCTTCCATCCTTCCGAGGTGGGTAAAATGAGCACTATGCTGACTCTGGAAACCGCTTAGAGAGGGCTGTAAAAGCATTATGAAGCGGTATATAAGTCTAAGTGCTATTGCTCTTGCTACTTAAATGGTGGTCCACTAGAACACCTGGAACCCTCTCACAGTTTCTACTATTGAGACAGGTACTGCCTATTCTATACCCATGTATTTGGCTTTTCCTGCCTATGTGCAGGACCTTACTTTTCTCACCACTGAATTGCATTTTATTGGATAAGGCCCATCGCTCCAGTCTGTCAAGATCATTCTTAATCTTGAGTCTATCTCCAAAGTTCCAGCAATTCCCTTCGGCTTGGTATCATCTGCAAGTTGGATGAGTTCCCCTTCTATCCCTTCATCTAGATCACTTCTGAAGATGCTGAAGAGCAACTGGATACAAACAGAACTTGGAGGTACCCTTCTGCATGCTTCTCTCCTTGTAGATGTAGTTCCTTTGAGAGCTAATTACTGAGTGTGGTTGATCAGCCAATTACAAACCCATCTGGTGGTGGTACTATCTACACCACATTGTTCTATGTTGCCGAGAACGAGGCTGTGGTCTAGTTTGGCAAATACCTTACAAAGTCTAGAAATACTGTCTCCACAGCATTTCATTGATCTACTAATTTAGTCACTTTATCAAAAAGGCAATAAAGTTTCTTTGGCATGATCTATTTTAACAAACCCATAACGATTTATATTAATCCTTTTCTCATTTCTAAGCTGCTCACAAATCTGTTGGTTGATTAGTATTTCCCCAGGTATTGAGACAAACAAATGCACATTTGTGTGTTTAGATATTTAATTATGTCTGCCCAAAACATGTGTGAATGAGGCAGATACAGATTTAGAGCCATGTGTAATATATATCTCTACTTTTTAGAAAATAAATTCTGGATTTTAAATACATGAAAGAATTCACAGCCTTTCAAATGTACTGTTCATTTCTTTCAGACCATATGGATGGAGATTATGTACTATAATCATAACTGAGATTATAGTAATAAGTCTGTTATTACAACAAAGCCCCTGGGGGATTATTAATATCCATTCACTTAGCAATACATCTACAAATGTAATACACCAGAATCTATTTCTTCACTCACCACATGAGGCTGATTCATCAGAGCGATCCCCGCAATCGTCATCCAAGTCACAGGTCCAAGAGATAGGGATGCAACGGCCACTGGCACAGGAGAACTGGTTGGTGGGACACGTGCGAGCTGGGGAGCAAGCAAATGGCAGTGAATCACAGGAGATACATTAAAAGCAAAATCGTACACCTTTTTGAGTTAGTGTAATGGTGGGTAGGAAAATTTCCAATGGTAATATCAGATGATACAGAAATAGTTAAACAGGTTCTGTATTGAAACTAGCCAGCCCCATATTCAAATACATGCTTTGCAGATATTCAGAAACGACCCAGAATTTTGAGAACTGTTAATTCCACCACTTCAAGAAAGATGGAGAAGTCTGATATACCGGTTCATTTTAGATGCCTTAGAATAGACTCGCAGAGTTGTCATGAAGATCAAATGAAGGATAACTACCTAGTTAATTAAATGGATAACAAACGATGGTTACCAGAGCATGTGGAATTAGATTCATCTTCATTGTTGCCGCAATCATTATCCCCATCACACAGCCATCGGTTGGGGATGCAACGATTGTTCTCACATTTGAAGCGGTCCGAAGGACATGTATGCTGATCTGCAGAGTTTCAAAGCAAGGAAGGCATCTTAGGACATCACACAATGAGATCCTTCTTTCCTTTTATGTGCATGACAGTAATGTGAACTTAGGACCAAACAGCCTTTTCCCTTGGATAACTTAAGAATCTTGAAGCTTTGGGCCACATTCGGATGAGTTTTCCGATTGTGGCAGTGCCAAATTCAAGAGATTTTATGGGAAATCTATGCAAGGTCATCTTCCTCTAAATAACACTATTATTTTCACAATGTTTTCCAACTACTTGGGATTTTTTTTTACAAAGAAAATGTGCTGAGATTGATTTTGATTGAAAAGACTCAGAAATGCTTTACTAGAAGAACTAGAAAAGTCCATACTTCTATGGACATGCAACTATTTGGATTGAAAGTGAAAAAGGTCCTTCAGATCCAGCATGAATGCGCTTCCTATAATTTGTCATGCAATTACATAAAATACTGTATTTTTTTGTAGACTCACATGGACCTTTTCTGCTTCACATCCCTAGAAATAATTTATTCAGTATGACACATGCAATTCCATGTCAAATAAGGAATATCTATAACCAAGAAATCCAATTTCTGGAAATAAAAAAAAATTATTTATATTTTTCCAACCTATGATGTTCTCTAAAAAGCTGTTTTATACAATGGTCAATTTAAACCAGGCTTGTCTATTCTGAGCATTAGAGGCTCTGAAAGATGTCAGAAAAAGGAATGTTAACCATTGGTTACTACATTTCTAAAGATTAGAAGGCAAAGACTTAATCTTTACATTCAAACTGTATTTTTACTAACTGGGCCCTTTGTTTTTGTTTGTTTCAGAAAAAAAGGCAGCAGAAGGAACAGGGATGGGCAGAAATGTTCTTGAGTATGACAAGCATCCTTTTACATCCCTATGCTGTAGATCCTGACTTGCCTTAAAATTAATGTTCACTTCTTAACCTCCTACAATCGATACCAGACAGAAACTACAGTGCCTTCACTATAATCTAATATATTAGATTTCATGACCTTTGCTTCTGTAGATATAAATGTGTTAATGCTTTCTAGTAGAGAGGTCCACAACCCTGGACGGCAGCCCACTACAGGGCCATGTTGGTTTATTTGGAGCTGGGCCATACAAATGGCAGGTGAGTGCACGCAAGTTCCACTCGTGCAAGCAGTGCACGCAAGCACTGGCGTGCGAAGTTCCAGTTGCACAAATGGAGCTGTACACACTCACACGCATGCATCTACCACTCACACAAAACTATCCCCTCTCCTCCCCGCCTCCCAATACTAGGCTGCCAAGCTGGAAAGGTTGGGGACCATTTGTTCTAGTAGAATTTTGTACCCTGGATGCAACTCCTTTTCACTTTTGGAGTTCTCTATCATTTGAAAGTGCTCTGGATTCATCATTTTGCCTGATGCAAGATACACCTAGTCACCCTAGCCTACATATATCTGAAGGATTGGTCCCATTTGTCTCACGAGAGGATGGGAATGGTCAAGAAGAACCCTGGGGTCGCTCAAGCAAATACGTACGGCAGAGTTCAGGTGCCTCATCACTGTTGTCCAGGCAGTCATTGTCTCCATCACATTTCCATCGCTCCTGTATACATCGACTGTTTTTGCAAGCAAATTCCCCAGGCTGGCACTGTGGAGGTGGAACGTAAGATGGATTGGCTAGACAAGACAAGAAAGAACAAGAGAAGAGTTGGTTATGTTATAAGCAAGAGGCAGCTTTGGAATTGAACCAACCCCTTCTCTCAGATATTTCAATTCTGAGGTAATCTGCATCCATGGATGAACAATGACTGGTAATATCTCTGCTACCATTCATTATAAACCCATTTCTCCCTTCCAAACTATCCCACTGGAGAATCAGAAGAGGACTGAAGAGTCAAAACCCTGCAACAGCTTGCATAGACAGCAGTTTGCACAGAATTTCCTACTTTATATTCAAACTATTTGCACAGATGTTTAGAAGGTGGATGATAGGCAGGGAGCAAAAATGCTTACTGATGCAGAAGCAATTTCCAGTACTGGACACCAGATTGGATGATTTTCAAGATTTCTTCCAACTGTTACATTTTAAAATTTACTTACTTTAATTATCTTTTTTGTTGGTGGAAATAGGGCTACTTACGTGTTGGCAGGTCCTTTACACCTTAAATAGCTAGTATTCCTAAATATGTAAACCATGAATAGGTAACATTTGAAGAGTTGGGAGTCCATAACTCAACTAATTGGAAGCCAAAGGAAGCCATCTGCATATAAGGTTGCTCCAGAGATGACCTGCTCCCACCTCCACTCTTGTTTTTTTGAAAATATTCTCCTACGCCTTCAAAATTTGGCTCTTCTGTTGTCCATTTCAAAAGCATAGAGTTCAGGACACCTGTAAGCAGGATCCTGGTGTGTGTGTGTGTGTGTTTGTGTCATATGCACTCTTCAGATTTACCAATTCTTTAATCAGCAGTTTGGTATACAGAAATTAAACAAAGGAACCTTTTTATGTTGTAGGAAGAGGCAGTGATGGGGGGAAAAGCTTCATTTATGTGGAGGTTGTATTGCAAAGTAGCATAGCAGGAACAGAAAAAAATGTGGCAACCTGATTTAGAAATCACAATAAAGTAAGTAGCCTCAGCAAATAAAACAACAACCCCCAAACCATTCTTTTGCTGAATATGTTTGTCAATTATTAGCACGCCATGCTTTCTGTACAAGTACAAACAAGGGTGGAAAACCTCTTCCAATGAAATGGGTATATTCATCAAATAAATATATTCCCCAGTTTCATTTGTGGAAAGCTGCAAATTGGCAGAGTAATGACTTCATCATCAATGTCAATCAGGTCACATAATTGTCAAGAGCACTGGAGAATTCAAAGTATCTGTGATGGTCAGTACGGGATAGTCTTGTCTCCAAGAAAGTCTTAATAAAATGATACAGCTGGATTTTTTTTTTAAAGAATGCTGAGCTCCTGGCAATCTCTTATCTCCTTTCACATTTACTGAATTATGATATGGATTGGTTACCTTGGCAAGTGACAGAATCTGGTCCCAAAATCTGGTCTTCTGCACAGGCACAACGTCTGCCATTTGGGATAGCCAAGCAAAGACTGCTGCAGCCTCCATTGTTCACCCGGCAACTGTTAGAGCCAACTAAAAAAATTGACAAGAAGAAGCAATGAGAGAAAAACGTCCCGAGACCCGTCAAAAGCAAGGGAAAAAAAGGCCTAGAAGGCTCTTGTGTAATCCAGTCCAAATAAAAGAGATCATGAAATCCACTGGAAAAGCAAAACAGGATTAATAATTTCCAAAGAGGTAAGCATTTTAGCCTTTTGCAGCAAATAGCCTGGCCAGCTCAGAGAGTCTTGCAGGAGCTTAAAAACCAATACATTCCATTTTCCACCTAAAGTTTCATGGGTCAGAATTCACAATGCTCAAGTCACCGCTAAGTCTTTGATCTTAATCTCGACATGCCTGGACCTGTCCTTCTTTGCATTCCTCCTCATAGCCACAAGAAAATAAGAAGTGTATTTAGTTCAACCAATACTGGTAGTCCTAGACTTACGGCCACAATTAAGCCCAAAATTTATGTCACTAAGCAAGACAGGTGTTAACTGAATTTTGCCCCGTTTTACAATCGTTTATGCCACAGTTAAGTGAAACCCTGCACTTTTTCAATTAGTAACATGGTTGTTAAATGAATCTGGCTTCCCCATTGACTTTGCTGGTCCAAAGGGCACAAAAAGGGATCACATGGTTCCGGGGAAACACTGCAACCGTCATAAATATGAATCAGTTGCAGGCATCTGAATTTTTATCACGTGACCATGGGGAATGATATAAAATGATAGTTCAGTGTGAAAAAATGGTCATGTAACATTTTTTAGTGCTGTTGTAATTTTGAATCCTCACTAAACAAATGGTTGTAAGGCAAGGAGTAACTGTACTACATGTATAGAGTGGCTAGTTTTTTTCAAAAAAAAAAACAGCAGAAGAAGAAACATCTGACTCTTTTAATCTTTTCTCCCCCTCAACTGGCTATTTCTGGAACCTTCTTTTGCTCTTCATACTTTGTGTTAAGAGCATGCTCTCACAATCAGTGTGCTGACTTTTCTCAACCACAGATTTTTTTTTAAAGGTTCAATACATTTTTGCTTTTCTCCTCATCTTAAACTGCTGGGGAATGCATATAAATCAAATCTTAACTGCAAGACAGAGACCAATTGCATGCATCATTTTTATGAACCAAGAAAAGGTTTTGGTACTATGGGAAAACCCATGAGACTGCCTATGAGATCTTTACAATGTTCTCAAGGCAGCATCTCATCCAGCTTTTCACAGAGTTAATAGAAAAATTAAAAAGCATCAGAGTAAAAGAACGAACAGCAAAAAAAAAAAAAAGATGGGGAAAGTACATTCAACTGAAAATGCTGTTTCCTTCCTGGTCTTTGACAAAACGGAGTGGCAACTATATGGGTGGTCACAACCATATTAAAAATGAAGAAAGCAAGGAATAGTCTCCTTCAGCACTTTCATTAAGTTTATACAGACTACTTTTAGCCTGCCATATAATGCATTCACAATTTAAGGAGAAGGAACAGCATTTGTTCTTACCTGATTTAAGTATGTTCTGTTTTAACAAGTGCCAGTGTAATCTAAATCCATAATGGTTACTGAAATTTGTTCATTTAAAGCAGTGTTTCCCAACCATGGCAACTTGAAGATGTCCGGACTTCAACTCCCAGAATTCCCCAGCCAGCGCTGGCTGGGGAATTTTGGGAGTTGAAGTCCAGACATCAAGTTGCCAAGGTTGGGAAACACTGATTTAGACGATAAGAGCTGACCCCCAAAGTAAACAGCTCTGATCCATCCACCTGATCTGGGTATTAATACTCACAAGACCCCACTTCTCTGTATGTGAAGGATCTTAATTTATGAATCTGCGTAGCATTTTTCCTACAAAAATTCAAGGGTTTCTTCTAATGCTCTTGTTCTCACATGCACATTCATCCAAGTGGCCACTAAAAATAAGGCTTTGTACTGCAGCAAATATCGTGCTAGGCATCACGATGTTCACCGTAGTTCTGTTCTGAACCTTGTACGGATCCTTGGAGAAAGTACGTTACAGTTCAGTTCTAAGGTGGGTTATTTTTTTTCGTTCGGGATCACTTATTTCACTTTGTAAATTTCTGCAAAGTACATTTTAACAAGGGCTCATCATGGTTTAATACCTTGCTGTTGCTGAGCATCGTACATGCGAATCTCAAAAAGTGGTGGTCGTTCATTGCGCAACAGTGTAACACTCTTAGTGTTCTGGTCCAAACGAAAGATGCTACCACTTCGGTACTCTGTCCAGAAGAGGAAATGGTCATAGTGGCACAATCCAAAGGCATGACTCAACTCACTTCCATCATAAACAACCTGCAGCAGGAGAAAGATATGCACAAGTAATAATAAGCTTTATTGATTACCCTGTAAGCCATATCAAAGCACAAGGTTCAAACTCATATCACCAATAAAATCCTATACGAACAATTTAAAATAAGAGTAGGATAAAATACAATAGTTATAGGAAAGTTACAATATAATTTAATACATGAATATGTAAAATAGAATAAAATGACATAAAATTATATTTCGGTGTCACCCTTACAATCTACCCCAATCAGTTTCACATATGCAGATCTCAAGTGAACCATTTTGTTTTTAGTACTGTGCTGTGTTAAATGTTATTTTCAGGTTCCGGCCAGTAAGTTGTTTTGATATGGGGATCCCAATGGGTCATTTGTTTGGTATATAGACCAAGGTACCTGTCTCTCAGTCTCTTATACAAGCAACAATCAAATAGGATGTAAGCCATACCTTCTATCTCTGGCACTCCGCAAATGCAGACACACTTATTGTAGAACATTTAAGACAAGCAATCAACATTTTAAAAATGCATCTTTTCTGACAGCACAGCTATAGGGTCAAAGCAATGGGAGAAGGTTGGGAAAAGAGAGAGGGAGATTATAAATATAGAATATAAAAGAAAAGAAGAGAGAGGGGGAGAGCTAGTTTGGTCTAATGGTTAAGGCAACAGGCTAAAAAGCTGGAGTCTCTTTAGGCTTGATAGGCAGTTAGGTGATCTTGGGCCATTCACTTTCAGTCCAATACACACACACACACACACACACACAGGATTGTTGTTGTGGGGAAATAGGAGGGGGAAGGTGTGTTAGATATGTTCACCACCTTTTTTTAGCAGATTTTTTAATTATTATTTTCCCTTCTACAACACCTTGCAGTCATTATATCAACGTTATTATGTCATCATATCTGTACATGTATATAATATTTCGCTTCTATATTTACACCCCTTTATACACAGTTCTATATATATTTATATATATTGTTTTTTTGGCTTAATTAATTTTATCCTTGTTTTGCAGCCATTTGTACCAATTGTTCCAGATTTCGTAATATTCCGACTCTTCTTTATCTTTTAATTTCAGTGTTAATTTGTCCATCTCTGCACAATCCAAGTTTTTTTTTTAATCACTAATTCATCCGAGGGGGTATTATTTTGTTTCCAGCATTGAGAAAATGCTATTCTAGCTGCAGTTAGCAGAT